GTACCTTTGGTTGTCATACTCCATGATTTGTGGACTGGGTGTGCCTATTTGTTTATAACAGGCTAATGGATTGCTTAAAAAAAAAAAGAAAAAAAAAACTTATTATGATATGGCTGAAAGTTTGCAGAAATAATAGTTTGTGTTTCACAATTCATACACATTTTATTCATGACATTGGTTGTAATCCCCACAATGTAACAACACTCTTCCCACTTCTTCCCTATGTTTTCTTTTTCCATTTGCCCTTCTTTCCTGTCCCTTCCAGTCTTCTAAGATTTCTTCCTGGGCAGATGGTGTCCTTTTGTCCTTGTATGGCTTGTTGTTTTCAGCAGTGCATACCTCCCTGATGTTATTGTTCACCTTATAGGCTTTGTATTTTTGGCTGAAAGTTGAACTATGGGAGTGAGTTTGGTTCCAGGCTTGAAAGGTGTCTAAGGGCCATAACTTCCATGGTTCCACCAGTCTCTAGTCTATAATAAGCCTGGTCTTTTTTTTTAGGATTTTGAATTTTGTTCCACATTTTTCTTCAACTCTATCCATGACTTCCTATTGTTAACTCTTTCAGAGCAGTCAGCAGTGGTAACCAGGAACCATTTAGTTTTTCTAGTCTCAAGGTCATGGACCTTGAGATTCACGAGGTCCATTAGTTTTTTTGAACTAATTGTTTCCATAAGTCTTTGATTTTCTTCATTCATCTTTGCTTCAGACAAGTAGAGACCAATAGTTGAACCTTAAATGTCCACTGGACTCATTTGCTTCATTCTACTAAGCTCCTGTATTTATAGAGTTTTTGTTTTTCATGACTTTTTAGAAAATCTTTTGCGATATTTGCCATTGGCTTGTGGCAGTTATTTACTTACAGCTGTGATAATTTTGTTGATGGAAAATATTACCAGTAGGGTGAAATCACCATTTCACACAGATCATGTACCTCCCAATCTTGTGTAACCATATTTTTCACAAATAATGTACCCACATAAATAACAGATGTTATAACACATGCATAAATACACATAGTATGCATAGGAAACTAGCACATGAGGGTGCTGTACAGTTTGCAAGAAAAAGTATAACATGCACATTATTTGCTTAAAAATACAGTATGTTTCCTTCTTCTCAACTTGTATCCATGACAATATATGAAGTATCCTCAGGATTAGGAGATATGTAGAATAATAAATTGGCATATAACGGGTTATTGGTATTGACAGATTTAAAATTCCAGTTTTCAACTATTTGTGACTGACCCTGAAGATCCTTGATTTCATTGAAACACAGCATGAATTTGACTCACAAATGCTATGGAATTGTGGTGTGGGAGTAAGTCACCCGCCTAATAAATGAGCCTGGCTCACCCCTTAGCTTCTAAATCTCAGTGTAATTGTTCTTCCTTATGGTTGAGACTCTTTTGGTAATGTCGAGACCTAGGATTTTTAGGATCAGGTACCATTCGAGTTATTTAACCTTTCTGCCCCTTCCTTCCTCATCTGATTAGTGGGAATAATAGCACCTATGTCAAAGGATTTGAGGAGACAATGATATGAGATAGTGCATATTAAAGCTTAGAATTTTAAGCAGGTTGTGTCTAGCTGAAGGAGCCCTGATGGGACAGTGGTTAAAGTGCTTGATTGCTAACTAGCAGCTCTAAGGGAGAAGAATGTATCATCTGCTTCCATAAATATTACAGCCTTGGAAATCCTATGAGGCAGTTTTCCTCTGTTTTACAGGGTCAAATTTGTGAAATTGACTCAGTGGCGGTAAGTTTTCATTTTTCACAGCTTCGGTTCTGCCAGGCAGAGATTATTGAGCTGAGACTCATCAGTGCCCTGGAGATTGAACTGTAGGCCCTGCTCAACCTGAAAGACTTTGGAAAACATGCTGACTGAGATAGAGGCTTACTACAGCTCCCACTGTACCCAGTGCAGTACATGATCAGCAGTGTGAAATTCCAGCTTATCTGGAGCTGCAGAACCAGGAGTACCAGGTGCTGCTGGATATCTGGGCCTACTGGAATGTGAGAACAGCATGTTTAAGGCCTACTGGAGAATGAGGACTGCAAGCCTTCCCTGAGCCCTGTGTCACCAATCCCTGCACAACTTATGACCCATGGTCCCACTACAGCCCTGCTGTACGCTCTGGTATCTAGAGTTCTAGATACTTTGGATATATCTAGATACTCTGGGGCTGGTAGGGTGCTAAATACTGAAGCTAGCGGGAGGGTTGCATGAGGATGAAAGACCACTGGCAGACCAGTCCTTATCAGACAGCCGTCAGTCACAGGAACCATGCTCTACTGTTGTTGTTGTTATGTGCTCTAATACAACGCCATAAATTACAGTCCAGAGGGAGAACAAATACCCAGGCTGTGGCCTGGCTCTGATCCCAGCCTCCCTGAGCTTCATTCAAGGCCTCTGTCTGTGCATCTTTGTCCTCCTAGTCTGACAGGTTTTTGAGCTGTGAAGGTGTCATATGGGAGATAGTTTGTGGTTATCTTGCCACTTTGACCTTTCTTCTGATTCCCAACATCACTTTGTAAATCTCCTAAAAAATTTTCTTTTGGTAAAGTGGAGGTAGAAGGATGACAATTGAGTATAGTGTTCAGTGAAGAGAAAGTCTTTAGCCAATAACCACTGGATAAGAGATAAAAAGCACACAGATAAAGATAAGAGATAAAATGAATTCCTTCATTCTTGGATATCCTTGCCTGGCTGTGTGCCATCTATCCCTTCTACCTGTTCAGAGGGGGTGTTTAGATTATTTGTGAAATGCTTTCATTAATGCTAAGATCAGCCAAGTGTTAAGCGTAGTCTAAACAATATAAATTACTGAGAAATAATTGTTTGTCAATTACTGAAAAAGTTACTTATTCAGTAACTTACTGAATAAGTAAATTTGAGAGTTGAGCAAGAATCTTTAAATGTTCACATAATGGATAATTAAGCTTTACTCATCAAACAAATATGTACGGAGGAACTTAAGTGCAGCTCATTCAATAACCATTTGAGTGACTATCATATCCACTTATTTTTATGAGTAGTGTATACCAATAAAATTTGGAATACAAAGAAGGAAAATATTTTTGTCTTCAAGTGATGTAGATAGACAAATGAATAATTATAACAATATAAAATGACAGATACCGTAAGATAGTATTTTAAAAAAACATAGTTGAAACACAGAAGGAACGTAGAAAATCTACCTTGGACCAAAAAAAAAAAAAGCTCTCACAAGGGAGGTAGTGTTTTTCTGCGCCTTTTTAATCAGAGCCTTAAAGAACAAGTAGGGATTAATCAGAGAAGCAGTAGGGGTTACACACCCAGAAGTGTGAGAGAGCCTGACACACTGAGTCTGCACCTTCCAATAGAGTAGGTACCGCTATATGTAGCTATTAACATTTAAGTTTAAATTAAGTAAAATAAAATTCAGTTCCTCAGTTGTTCTAGTCACATCTCAAGTGCTCGATAGCAACATGTGGCTGGTTGCCACCTGACGATTTCCATTGGCCTGGGCAGTGCTGCTGTGCAGAATCTGCAGGTGCAGGAGCACTGCTGTAAGGGAGGAGGAGAAGGAGGAGAACAAGTCGGTACGTGGCACCTGGGCCAGATGATCAGGCATAGGAGCTTACATTTCATCCTCCTAAATATTTTCTGCCTATTTTGGCATCTTGTATTAAAAATCTGCATTTCTATTTGGCACAGATGCTCAGTGAGACTTCTGTGTCTCGTGCTTTAACACATAGTACTTTTCTGAATTAGTGACTAAACCAAAAAAAAAAAAAAAAAAACCCTCACTGCCATCGAGTCACTGTAATGCTTAAAATAATACATTTTACAAAATGGTTACCCTGCTGATACTGTTCCTTATCACACAGGTTTCTGCAGCACAGCCTCCCAATCTGAAATTTGAAAGCCTTGCTATTTTCTGGCAGAAATGTGTTGAGTAAAAGCTTAAATAGTCATAATTTAATGGAATTACAAACAGAATTTTATCCTAAGCTTTAAATATGAGCTTCTTATGTCGTCTTTCTTTTGTCTGTTCTTTATAATATTGTAAACAAGTTATGAAAATATCATAGACTGGCATTTTACTTCTCTGACATGCTGCTGTTGAATAGCACAAGAAAAATCTCAGACCCATGGAGAGCAGTGATTCTCACTTCTTTCAAAAAGAACCCTTGTTTTAATATAATGAGGTTATACTTACTGTCTGGTCCTTGGACCAAGTGTTCCCTTCTTTATGTCACAGCTAAATCAGGGCACCAAAGAAGCATAGCTCAGCAGGGAAAAAACAGCATGCAAATTTATCTTTTATTCCTTTATACTTTTATTGTAAATGATTATCATTTGTTACCTTATTAAAAAAAAAAAAAGCTTGCTCTCTGAGGACAGGTTCTGCTGGTATAATAAAAGGCTGAGAGTGAAATTCATATACACCTGTGGAGATGCAAACACATTTTCTTTTCCCAATCACAGATAAAAATCATAAAGATGGAATATCTTAAGTATATTAGGCATTCAGTTCACTTTGACATTACAATTATAAACAGGTTTTTAAATATTTAATATACTGATTTCTTTTTTTTGCCATGGGTGTTAACTGAATATTGTTAACAATAATAAAAAGTTTTTACTATTTATTAAGTACTATATCCTGAGTATTGTTCATTATATTCATTAACACTAATTCTCACAAAACAAATATGAAGGTGATATAATTTCCTCCATTTGCTAGTTTAGGAAAATACATGTCAATGCAGTGAGACATTATGCAGCCAGTAGAATACTGTAGATGAATATCTGATATCTTAGAAAGATGTTCATAATTTACTATGAAGTGAATGAAACAAATAGCAAAAACTGTATTTAATATAATCCTATGTATACTGTACACACACACTCATAAGAAAAAAAAAATTGTGGAAAGATACAGGCTGAATAGCACCGGGTATTAGAAGGTGTCCCCTTGTGTTCTCACTCACATACTTTGATACTTCATTTCAGTGTGTCAAGGAGCTGTGCTTGCTGCTACTTAACCAGTCCCTCCTGCTCCCATCCCTGAAACTGCTCCTTGAAAGCCAAGATGAGAATCTTCATGCTCTGGCACTGGAGCATATCACAGCTGTTGCTAAGGTATGTCTAGTTGAACTCACTAATTTTCACATTTCAAAGAAATGAATTAGCATTTTCATTGTCATAAATAATCACTGTTATTTATTTAAAACCACTTTATCTGTCGCATTCTCTGACCACAGTAGGTTTTACTGTTGTTTCTAAGAAATATATGTTTCTTTATTGTACAAGCATCTACTAAGCTCCTTTCATGAGCCAGACTATGTTTAGGTGCTAAGAATACAAAACCAATTAGCAAAAGTTTCTCCAGAGAAGCAGGATATTAATTTCTTTTAAGAAAATGTCAAAGCAACCAGACTATTCAACAAGTTTTTTTAATAAGACTAGTCTCCTTGCAACTTAAAATTTGAGTCTAGGGAATTCCTAGCATCATGTGGATTTTCCTTTCCTGGATGCATGTGTTTGATTCTTCTAATTAAAGGGGAAACAATGGCTTCAAGTCATGTTTTCCAGCACCATCTTAAGTCTCAAACTCATATTTTTTCTGTTAAACTTTCACCATTGAAAGCAGTTTCTTGACTTGAGGAATGTTATGTTACACAAGAGTCAAGTCTTAAAGATACCTTGAGAAGTCTCACTCAAGGCTGGTTTGCCTTATTATGAGTAAGAAGCTTTCACTTCTGTTTTTAAATTTTATACATTAGAATTGGACAGGTCAAGGGTTTTATTTTAATGAATTCATGTTGTATGACCCTTACTGAAAGCCTTCTTTAGAGAAATCATTCCTTCATTTGAATTACTTGTAGGTGTGAATGTGTCCATACATACACTATAGACATGTTGTTGTTCGGTACCATTGAGTCGGCTCCGACTCATAGAGACCCTAAGTTCAACACAATGAAATACTTCCCGCTCGTGCTTGATGCTCACAGTGCTTGCTATGCTTGAGCCCACCATTGCAGCCACTGTGTCAGTCCATCTCATTGAGGATCTTCTTTTTTGCTGACCCTCCACTTTACCAAGCGTGATATCCTGCTCCAGGGAATGGTCCCTTCTGACAACATGACCCAAGTAGGTGAGACTAAGTCTGGCCATTCTCGCCACCAAGGAGCATTCTGGGTGCACTTCTTCCAAGACAGATTTGTTCATTTGTCTGGCACTTGGTACAAAAATCCATGGTACTTTCAGTATTCTTCATCAGCACCAACTCAAAAACATCAACTCTTCGTTGTTCTTTCTTCTTTATTGACCAGCTTTCACATGCATATGAGGCAATTGAAAAATATCATGGCTTGGGTCAGGAGCCCCTTAGCTTTCCAAGTGACGTCTTTGCTCTTCATCACTTTAGTACTTTAAAGAGGTCTTTTGCAGAAGATTTGCCCAGTGCAACACAAACATATAAATATATGTAGGAGTCCCTGGTTGGCAAAAACAGTTAAACACTGTGCTACTAACTGAAAGGTTGGTAGTTTGAGTCCACCCAGAGGCGTCTCAGATGAAAGGCCTGGCCATCTACTTCTGGCTTTCAGTTGTTGAAAACCCTATAGATCACAGTTCTACCTTGACACATATGGGGCCACTGTGAGTCAGAATCCATGGGCAAATAATTTATACTTCAAGGAAATAAATTTGTGTTGTGTGTGTGTCTTGTTACTATTATTTATAAAATGCAACAGGATGTCTTCTAGGGACCAGAAAGGGAAGGAAAACTCTAGAGCAAAATTTTATGCATTCCATATAAGTGATGAGATTGGTAGAAAGACATCAAGAATATAAAAGTTTGTTAATGATTAAAGACACAGAAAGTTACATAATTGGTTACAGAAAGTAGAACATAATTGTATTTGGAAATAATCATCATCAACAAAATGAGAAAAATACAATGCCTTTTTTCATTTGATGTATTGTCAAAATAATGTAAAAGCGACTGTGAATATTTTGTGAATATTAGACTCTATGATCACTGATAATTGCATAACAACAGGGTCCTCTTGAGGAATTGGACTGAAGCAGTGAATCAAGGGAACTTGTGTATCGATAGGCTCTCTGTCTGTCTATGCTAAAATGGAAATTGCATAACCTTGGAAATTTGCATGGTAATGAGAATTACAGAGAGATATTTTTTTCTTAGCCCATTTTTCCTTGTAAACCCAAGAAATCTGGGAAAGATGAAGAAAATGAGGCTGCCATTTTTAGTTCCTGATTTCCCTCTACCAGCACCATGTGCTGTATTAGTATCTTTGCTTAGACATCATCCCCACAAAGATTTGCCATGGGCCTCTTCTAGAATAAAACAGTATAGTGTACTGCCTCTGTGTATTTCTTCTGTATAAAGCTCTCTTGATGCACTCTTTCATTTCCATGTTGTTGTTGTTGTTATGTGCCGTCGAGTCAAACCCGACTCATAGCGACCCCTCCTTGGGTTTCCGAGGCAGTATCACTACGGAAGTAGGATTGCCCAACCTTCCTTCCGAGGAGTGGCTGGTGGGTTTGAACCGCCAGCCGTCTGGTTAGCAGGCAAGTGTCTTAGCCACTATGCTACCAGAGACCGGTATATCTGTTCTCATTTTGAAGATCCTTTATCTCAAATGCATCTGTTAGAACAGTGACTAGGAACTAGGGCTCCCTAACTAGCATTGTACCCACACCTCACCCCCCACCACACACATGTTGTTGTTGTTATTGTTGTTAAGTGCCGTCGAGTCGTTTCCGACTCATAGCGACCCCATGCACAGCAGAACGAAACACTGCCCGATCCCGCACCAGCCCCACAATCCCTGCTATACTCGAGCCCATCATCGCAGCCACTGTATCAATCCATCTCGTTGAAGGCCTCCCCCTCTTTCGTCGACCCTCCACCCTACCAAGCATGACATCCTTCTCCAGGGAATGGTCCCTTCTTACAACATGACCAAAATAGGTGAGATGAAGTCTGGCCATTCTTGCTTCCAAGGAGCATTCTGGCTGCACTTCCTCCAGGACAGATCTGTTAGTTCTTTTAGCAGTCCATGGTACTTTCAGCATTCTTCGGCAGCACCACAACTCAAAAGCATCAACTCTTCTTCGGTCTTCCCTATTCATTGTCCAGCTCTCACATGCATACAAGGTGATTGGAAATATCATGGCTTGTGTCAGGCGCACCTTAGTCCTCAAGGAGATATCCTTGCTCCTCAGCACTTGAAACAGTTCCTTCGCAGTTGACTTTCCCAATGCTACACGTCGTCTAATGTCCTGACTGCTGCTTCCGTTGGCATCGATTGTAGAACCAAGCAATGTGAATTCCTTGACAACCTCAATCTTCTCTCCATTGATTGTGATGCTGCTCATTGGTCCAGTTGTGAAGATTTTTGTTTTCTTTATGTTGAGATGTAATCCATACTGCAGACTGTATTCTTCAACCTTCATCAGTAGGTGCCTTAAGTCATCCTCACTTTCAGCAAGCAAAGTTGTATCGTCTGCATATCTCAGGTTGTTAATGATTCTTCCTCCAATCCTGATACCACGTTTTTCTTCATATAGTCCAGCTTCTCAGATTATTTGCTCAGCATATAGATTGAATAAGTGTGGAGAAAGAATACAACCCTGACGCACTCCCTTCTTGATTTTAAACCATGTAGTGTCCCCTTGTTCTGTTCGAACCACAGCCTCCTGGTCAAGGTACAGATTCCTCATGAGTACAATCAAGTGCTCAGGGATTCCCATTCTTCTCAATGTTATCCATAATTTGTCATGATCCACACAATCAAATGCCTTTGCATAGTCAATAAAACACAAGTAAACCTCTTTCTGGTATTCTTTGCCTTGAGCCAAGATCCATCTGACAACAGCTATGATATCCCTTGTTCCACGTCCTCTTCTGAATCCGGCTTGAACCTCTGGAAGTTCTCTGTCAATATACTGCTGCAAACATTTCTGAATTATCTTCAGTAATATCTTACTTGCATGTGATATTAGTGATATTGTTCTATAATTTCTACATTCTGTGGGATCACCTTTCTTTGGAATGGGCACAAATATGGATCTCTTCCAGTGAGTTGGCCAGGTAGCTGTCCTCCAAATCTCTTGGCATAACTGAGTGAGCGCCTCCAATGGGGCATCTGTTTGTTGAAATATCTCAATCGGTATGCCATCAATTCCCGGAGCCTTGTTCTTCGCCAGTTCTTTCATTGCAGCTTTGACTTCTTCCTTCATTACCATTGGTTCTAGATCATATGCCACTTCCTGAAATGGATGAAGATTGATCAGTTCTTTTTGGTACAGTGACTCTGTGTATTCCTGCCATCTTCTCTTGATGTTTCCTGCATCATTCAATATTTTGCCCATAGAATCTCTCACTATTGCAACTCGAGGCTTAAATTTTTTCTTCAATTCTTTCAGTTTGAGAAATGCTGAGCGTGTTCTTCCCTTTTGGTTTTCAGACTCCAGGTCTTTGCACATTTCATTCTAGTAATTGGCTTTGTCTACTCGAGCTGCTCTCTGAAATCTTCTGTTCAGCTCTTTTACCTTTCCATTTCTTCCGTTTGCTTTAGCGATTCTCCGCTCAAGGGCAAGGTTCAGAGTCTCTTCTGTCATCCACTTTGGTCTTCTCTTCTTTTCTTGTCTTTTTAGTGATCTCTTGCTTTCTTCATGGATAATGTTCTTGATATCTTCCCACAATTCATCTGGCTTTCGGTCACTGGTGTTCAATGCATCAAATCTATTCTTTAGATGATCTCTAAATTCAGGAGGGATATATTCAAGATCATATTTGGCTCTCGTGGACTTGTTTTAATTGTCTTTAACTTCAAGTGGAATTTGCATATGAGCAGTTGATGGTCTGTTCCACAATCAGCTCCTGGCCTGGTTTTGGCTGAAGATATTGAGCTTTTCCACCGCCTCTTGCCACAGATGTAGTCAATCTGATTCCTGTGTGTTCCATCTGGTGAAGTCCACGTGTACAGCCTCCGTTTGTATCTGAAATTGACCAAACATGCAATCAGGATGTGTTAATTATCACTGGTGACTGGAATGCAAAAGTTGGAAACAAAGAAGAATCACCGGTAGTTGGAAAATTTGGCCTT